TTTATCTGCCATGCAAGATGCAAGAATCCCTCTTTGACCTTAAAACTAAAATCTAGATCCTGCACAAACTAGCTGAATAGTCCTGATTTTTCTAGGGTGACTAGAGTCCTTTTATTTGTTAACAGACCAAAAAAAAATCAAAAAACCCCAAACCAACCAACCAAGCCCTGCTCATTTATTGTTAATTGTTTGATACAGGAAAGAAAGAATACTTAACTATCATAATATACTAAGCAGTATCTATATTTTCCTAAGCTGTGTTTTAGGTCATCCTAGAAATTTTCATGAGTGATTAAAGACTCATTTGCAGTAAACGCTGCTTTTCCAAAAACTTGCACACTGATCAATATTCAAGTGAAGTTTTTTGCTCCAAGGCCTTGCCAGCACAGATGAGCCCAGAAGACTCCCCCATTTTTGCATCTCGGGCTGATTTGGTTTCACCACAGGCTGCTGCTGCCAATTCAGGCTCTATCTGGGATTCAGTTAGGCAGGTTGGAAGTTTATCCCTTCTTATTGCCAGCAACCCATTAACATAGATACAGGCAGCAGACAAAAGGGAAGGCATAACCAGCTAGTCACGTTTACCATATCTCAACCCTGGATTTACCAGCTTACCAACAAAGTAGGTAATACATTACCTCTGAAACCCTTTGGACAGATGAAAAGTTCAGTTCTATCTACTTAACATTTTTCTTTCATTGAAACAACACAATGGTTACAATCATCTTGGGTTGACTTTCAGCGCCTGATTCACACCGATGCAAAAGCCAAATAAAAGCACTTGAATTTAAGACTTTTTGTTTGTTTGTTTAAGGTACTAATTATAAGACTTAGTCTATTTTTTTTTTCCTGAGCAACTCAGGCAGTAGTTCCAAGCTTTAACTTTTATAAGGCAATAATTAATATTAGCAGTCATAAATAACACTTCCTAAGTTGGTTGGTTAGGATAAAAAAAAGTCAACCTATGAGTCCCTCCACTGCACAAATATTCAATGTTAGAAAGTTCACAATGCATTTTACTCTGACTTATGAACTGTAATTAATAGTTTATTCTTGTGAAATATGCTAAAAATAGTAAGTCCGTAATGAAGATTTGCTAGGCCAGGTTAGCATAAAACTGAAAAGAAAGTTTCAAATGAGGGTTTCAACATTTCAATATGATATCACATTTTTGACAAAAGGACAAGACCCACTTGCTTGCACAGCAGTTAAATACCCCGTGGTTGTTGAATAAATAATCTAACCCAGAAGTTTAACAAGCCTTTTCACTGCACAAGGAGGACCTCTAAGGACAGAGGAACCACATTCAGCCACTGTTGAATGAAAAGCAAAACAAGGGGCAACATCCTGAAGCTGCAGGCTTCACTTCCTTGGCAAACGGAAGCTTTCAAATAAAAATATGAATAATGAAAGGCAGTATTATCGAGCATTTAGGAAGAGGAATGCATGCATTCTAAATGTATATATTAACTTTAAATCATATTTGTTTTTAAAAATGAACAAATATGAAACAATACAGTGACTCATTAAAACAACTATCCTCTGTGCTTAAGCTTCTGAACGTGATAGAAAAAAGCATCTACCAAAACAAGGCTTAGGGAATGCTATCCTGCTTGAAGCACTTCTCAGGATACACGGATGCTTTGATTGCTGCAGGTGGACGCTTTGGACTGGCTCCATTTGCCAAGCTGGACAAAATGTGCTCATCTTACGTGCAGGGAGGCAGCCCGGAGCTGCAGGGTGCCACCACGCACGCTGGAGGAACTCCGTTTCTCTTGCTGCCTGCAGCATCTATTCAGGCCTAAGCTTCTTCAGATGAAGAAGGGCACTTAGGCCAGATTTTGCTACTCTATTTTTTTTAATACATTACTGAATAACAAAACTAACAAAAGGCTGCAGAAGTGTTTTTGGATCAGTTCTCTTCCCTTGGCACCCCCCACATGCTGTGCTAGCACTGTTTCAGGACTGCTATGCAGCAGTGTTGAGGGCCGTGTTCAGCACAACATGGTAATGGCCACAGCGCAGATCAGATTGTGCATCTTTATTAGCAGTTATAAAACCAGATGGATTTGGGCATTAGGGAGCTTAGGACACTACATATGAGTAGGTCTAGGAAAACCTGAATTATCCATCTATGCCAGTTAATCTCGTAACAAGTGCATTGCCCAAAAGAGGAATCTAACCATTGTCTAGGAGTCATTTATTAGAAATAGTGACTGCAGCTTCTTTCTAAACTCCACCCTACAGAGCCCCGCACACAGAAGGCAAATTCAGGCTATGAAAACTATTACAGTAACAGCTGCTGCTTTTCATAGTAGCTTATGACAGTGTTTTATACCACATACTCTTTTGAGCACAACTGAACATAATTAACAGAAAGTCTTAACTTGAAAGCATAGCCCAAGAGAAGACCTCAGCTCCCATAATACCTGATGTCACCACCCTTGAGCAGTTCACACATTTTTTCTACAAGTTTTAAAGAAGTTTAAGGGTGAATCTAGAAGCTTGTGTGGACTATCGAAATTTGGCCATTCTTCTGAGCTGAGCCATAGGGGTGCAGCTGTGAAATTCTTGAGTTACAGCAACCTCGCTGTACTTTTTGCAAGGAAACAGGCCAGGGAGATACCATGAACTGGAATAACCTGTCCTTTCCTTGCAGCAAATGAAGTGCTCTTTAGCTCACTACCATTGTGGTTGACACACAAATATTTGAGACTTGGGGAAGTTTTTCTCGCGCAGAGGGCACAGTCCAAACGTTCCCCTCGAGCCTGGCAGCTCGCTCGGCTGTTCCTGCCCCAGGCGCC